AGTCTGAGGGCTTATTGCTGCCACCCCTGTCCTGCCCAGGAGCCGAGGGGCCCGGATGCGAGCGATGGTGGGAATAATAAGGGATCCAGCCGGATGACCACTCCGAGCCTGGCTTTCTTAGACCGAGGAGGAGGAGGAGGAGGAGGATGTCCAGGGAGACTCTTACAGTTCTTGCTCAACAAGGAGACACAAACTGACCTGCAGGAGGCCCTCCAAAAAGCCCCCCCCCCCCACATACAAGGAAGCGTGGCTGTTGCTCTCTCTCCGATTGGCAGTGAAGGGTTGGTGAGGAGGGGCCCCTTGGGGCCCTTTCATCTGAGTTCAGGCTAAGCAGCAGAGTGTACCCCCCCCCGCCCCTCCCTGGGCATTTTCAGGCAGGGACCCAAAAGCCTCTAGGATGTCGTCCGGAATGCGATGGGCGCCCACAGAAATGATACCAATCAATCAAATAAATCCCTGACATGGGAGAGACTCTGGAGGAAAGGAGGACGACAAGAGTTTTCTCAACTTTTGAGATTCTCTGGCATCACAAAGGATGGCATCTTGGAATGTGGAAAGGGCAAGAGGTTTTACTCTCTCCAAAACGAAGTGTTCGTGCGCGCGGGGAAGATACCAAGCAGCTTTTTAGGGAGACAACTGGAGTGGTTGGCTTGGAGATTTCCCTGAGCAGAGGACCTTGGCTAGAGAATTGCCCTCCCCTGTGTCCCCCCACCCCCGCTTTACGCAACCTGGGGAAATGTGGACCCCTCTCGGCAACCCTGGCCCACCAAGAGCAGCTACCCGCCCCCCATCCTCATGAAGGAAATCTGAGCAGAGCTTGGGGCTGGGTCCAACTGGTGGTGACCCCAACTTAAACTTACTGTATATTTCGGACTATAAGATGCACCTTTTTCCCTCAAAAAAGAGGCTGAAAATCTGGGTGCATCTTATACATTGAATACAGCATTTTTTTGCCTCCCGAGACCCCACCCCTTCACCAGAACGGCCGTGCATAGCTTGTAGGAGGCTTTTGGAGAACTCCTGGGGGCTGGGGAGGGCAGAAATGAGCAAAAAATGGGCCACTTTTTAACTGAAATTTGTCTCCCCCCAGCCCCCAGGAGCACTCTATAAACTTCTTAATGCACTTTTTTTTGACAAAAAACAGACCCGTTTTTTGCTTGTTTTTGCCCCCCCCCCCCCTCCGAACACTCTACAAGCCTCCTAAGGGCTAATTCATGCCCTTTTTTTGGGGAAAAAAAAAGTGGGCCTGGTTTCGTGAAAAACAGGCTGTTTTGGGGAGGTTGCAGAGTGCAAAACCTTTTTTTTTAGTTGCCTCTTAAAACCTTGGTGCGTCTTATACTCCGAAAAATACGGTAATCCTCTTGGGGTACTGAACATTTTGGTTGCAGTTCCTGAGAATTGGAAGAAGGGAAAGTAAATAGTGGACTGGGGGGGAAGGGAGGGAGCTGGAAAACCAAGGAACGGGGGGCCCTGGGTACGCCACCTTAGGCCCCACCACTTCTCCCTGGTCCCTGTGTTGGGCTAGGGACCCAAAAAGGGTGTCCGATCTCCCAAACCGAGCATTGGTGGCCCAGGAGTTTGGGGGCGTGGTGGTGGTGGTGGTGGTGGTACATGGCTTCTTGGTGCCCACCCTGCACTTCCTGGTGTGCCCCCCCTTGCAAGGCCGATGTTTTTTTTGGGGGGGGGGGGCACTGCCATTTGGAAGACTCGGGGCGAGTGTGCACCGACTCCCACGTGGGCTGACCTCATCCCTCCTCTGATCCGCCAGACCTCGCACACACCCTCGACGCTGAATCCCATCCTGCCGGCCTCGGAGCGGACTGTGGCCTGGGTCTCCAACATGCCCCACCTCTCGGCAGACATCGAGAGCTCCCACATCGAACGGGAAGAGTTCAAGCTGAAGGAGTACTCCAAGTCCATGGACGAGAGCCGGCTGGACCGCGTGAGCCTCCCTCTGTGGGGCGCCCCCGTGGACCTGGGAGAGGCAACGGCCCTGCCATAGGCCTGGATACCGCAGGGGTGCCCAGCCTGAGGCTCCTCTCCCCCCCCCCCCATTGCAGGTGAAGGAGTACGAGGAGGAGATCCACTCGCTGAAGGAACGCCTGCACATGTCCAACCGGAAGCTGGAGGAGTACGAGAGGCGCCTGATGAGCCAGGAGGAGCAAACTGGCAAGATCCTGCACCAGTACCAGCAGCGCCTGGAGCAGAGCGAGAAGCGCCTCCGGCAGCAGCAGGTGGAGAAGGACTCGCAGATCAAGAGCATCATCGGCAGGTGAGCTGCAGGGCAGGGCCGCCATGGGGGCCCGGGAACCTCAGGGAGGGGTCCCCCTTGCCTTCCTCATCCTACGGGCAGGGGGGGAGGCACTGGCAACAGGGGGGACTGTATGCGGCTCCTACGGCCGGTGGGGCATGTGGGAAGGGCCGCTCCTTACCGGCGGGGCCCCAGCTGCGGTCTCTGGGGCCCCGCTGCTTTTGGGAGCCCCCGTTCCCGCAGCTGCTGGCGGCCCCGGCTCCCGCCGCCTGCCTGCCGGGTGGGGGGGCCCGGATTGACTCCAGTGAAGCTTGTCCCTGCAGGTTGATGCTAGTGGAGGAGGAGCTGCGCAGGGATCACTCGGCCGCCCTCGACACCTCCGAACCGCGGAAGCGGCTGCTCGACGCTCAGGTGGAAATTACAATGTCATTGTCCTTTCCCATGTCTCCATCCACCATCCGCCCTCCCCCATCCTCGTCTCCCCCTCCTCCCGCTTACTCCTCTGGATGTGACTGCTCGTCCTCGGCCCGTGGGGTTGGCAGCGTCAGGAACAGGGGCCCCTAGCAGTGGGATTGGAGCTCCTTGCCCTCTCCGTGCCCAGCCCTGCCCTCCGGGGAGGGCTGTGGGGCAGCTGGGTGGGTTGGAGGGAGGAGGTGGAGGGGATGCCTGGAGACAGCAGCAAAGCGGGTTGCAGGAGGTCCCGGGGGCAGCCCAGGTGGAAGGGGGCAGAGCAGCTCCCCTCGTTCCCCTCAACGCCCTGGCCAGAAAGCCCCCAAGGCCCCTGTGGCTGAGCGGAGGGTGGGGCTTCCCAGACCCAGAGGCTCTGGGCCCCTCTCTGAGAAGCGCGCCTGGCACCCGTGGGTGGACCGTGTGTCTCCATGGGTCTGGCAAGTCACCCCACAGCGGCCCCCTGATTTCCTGCCTTCTCTGTGGCGCTGCGGCCGCCCCGCCCCGCCCCCCCTGACCCCCTGTGTTTTCTCCCTTTCATCCTAGCTGTTTACCAGGTAACTCTGTGTGGCCCCGGTTTTGTCACTTGAGGGACCAGGGGACCCCGCCATCCATGTGGGGCAGACCAGGTGGGTCTTGCAGGCACTGCTTCTCCAGCCCCCCATATTCCCTCGGCTGGGATGGGCCCCCTTTCCGCCCCCCCGTGGCCCCACATCCCCTGCTGCTGGGGGGCGTTTAGAGGTTGCGCTGAGTAAGGGGTCCTCTGTTGCTGTGCCCAGCATGTCACCCCCCCCACCGCTGCCCCCCATCACGGCCACCCTTCCTTCCATCTCTCGTCTTGTCTGCCAACAGCATGCCACGTGGGGGCTGGGACTGGGGGGGGGGAGCACAGGCACATGGGGCCATCTGGGCACTCACCTATCTGTGCGTGGGTGGGTGGGGGGCCCGATGGGGGAGGGGAGCAGGAGGACCCCCCCTCCCTTGGAAAGGGGCCGGCAGCCCGTGGACCCGGAGAGGTTAGTGCCAGAGGCAGGTGGGGAGGCTGCCCGGTGACCCCCTGGTGAACTGGGGAGCGAGGAGGGGGGACGTCTCCCTTGGAGGACTCTGGGGTGCCTGCTGGCCCCCCCTCCAAACTCTATTCCCCTGACCTGGTTCCCCTCCCCCTGCGCAGGACGCTGGGGTCCCTCAGCCTCCAGAAGGGAAGCCCCATCCGACCCTCCCCCCAATGGCAGATCATTTGCTGCCTGGTCGCCCCTGAATCTTGGGGTGCCATAGGGGCCATAATTTCAGCTGCTGGGAGAGCTGAGAGCCTGTGGGGGGGGGGGCTGGTGAGGTTCTGGGAGGGGCCCCGCTGGGGGAAGGAAAGAGGAGAGCAGCTCTTTTCCTTGGGGGAGGGCCCCGTGAGTTGGGGTGGGGGTCCCGGAGGAGGAGGCGGGACCCTCCTGGACAAGAGGGCTGGAGCTGGGGGGGGNCCCCCCCCCTCCTTTTGTGTGTGCAAAAAACAAGGTGTGCAGAAGGTTTTGGAGGCCTGCAAACCTTTTAAAAAAAACCTTTACCTCTTCAAAATCTCAGGGAGCATCTCATAGTCTGAAAAAACAGGGTAAGTAGGGGCTTCGCCTAGTCAGATCTCTGGGCTTCACGTTTCTCTGAAACGTCATCAAATCAAAATTAGATCTTTTTTTGGGGGGGGGAGGGTCTTCTCTGAAGTACGAGCTGCCCACCCAACTTGCGTCCATCTGGTCACCTCGCCTCCCACATTGGCACCAGACTTATAACCGTTCGTTTAGTAAACGTTCGAAGTTACAACAGCACTGAAAAAAGCAACATGACCATTTCCCACAGTTACGACCGTTGCCGTATCCCCTCGGTCCCTTGATTAGAATTCAGACGCTTGGCAACTGACTCATAGTTATGACGGTTGCAGCGGCCCAGGGTCATCTGATCCCCTTTTGCGACATTCTGACAAGCAAAGTCAGTGAGGAATCCAGATTCACTTAATGACCGTGTTGCTAGCCTAACTACAATGATTCACTTAACAACTGTGCCAGGAAAGGTTGCAAAGTGAGGCAAAGTTCGCTTCGCTGTCGCACAGTCCTTCGGGGGTCCTCTGAGGGGGCCCGTTGGCCGGTTCCTTCCCTTGCTGTCTTCCATCTGACCCAGCGGACGCAGCCCCCGCCTCTGCTGGCCCCCCCGTCCCGGCCTCTCGGATGCAGAAGGGGAGGGCGGAGGCCCTCCCTTCCCCCCCATCCCCCCCCCCGCTGCTCCTCAGCCGATTCCGTGGCAATAACTTTGGGGGCCGTTGCGGGAGAGATTCAGGCCCTGCTCTAAAGCGCTTTCCTTTGCTGCTTCCCCAGGACGTCTATTGCTGCCTAATTATGGTGAAGCTCTTCAAGATAGAGAAGGCGCTGAGGGAGAAGAGGACCTCCCGGGCCCACAAACAAGCCACCGCAGACGGCCAGGCCTCTCCTGGGGCACCGGCCCAGCCGGGGTTGCCTCTCAGTAAGTACTCCGCCAAGGGGCCACAGGAGACGGGGATACCCCTGCGCCTGTGCCTCTCTTGTGATTCCGGGGGAACCCGCTGCTGCGCCCCAAATCGAGTGTCGGAACTGTCCTCCTGAGCTCCAGCCTCCCTGCGCCAGGCGCCAGCCTGACATAGACTTTTGTGGGGGGGTGGGGGGGGGTAGGGAGCTGCTGGGGAAGCGGGAACTGAAACTCCCCATTGTGCCTTCCTGGGACCCAAGAGGCCGGAATGCAACGCCCCCCCCCCCCCGATGCAACAATTCCTTTGAATGCAACTGGACGGGAGGGAGATAACAGGGAAGAGGAAGGAGTAAGTGAGGGAAAGTTAACCGGGGAACCTTCAGGTGAAGATTTTTAGTTCTAGCCTTTTAGCTTGAAAGTGTATCTCGCACAAATGGGAGTCGAGGGTCTTCCTTTCCTAAGAGCCCAAGTTGGGGCAGGCATGACATCAACTCTGCCCACTGCTTGAGCAGGATTTCTCTCCTGTCGAAAGGATGTTCAGGGACGGGTTTTGTGAGAGGTGGGCTTCCTCCCACCAAGGTCGGGCAGGGTCTCTTGGCTGCAGCTGCTCGGCTGTTTCGCTGACCGCTCCCTGAAAGTTGGTGGGAGGAGGAGGCCCCCTTTGAGGGGAGTTTTCTTGTCCTGGTGCGGAAGGCGCGTCCGTCCCTTAGCCCGGCTGCTTTCGGGTGCTTTACATTCACCTCTTGTCTTTCCTAACGAAACTTTTCTCTGGAGGACTCGTCGGTTGTGCTTTGCGCTTTGCGGTTTGGTCCTCCCGGCAGCAGCTGCCATTCAAAGGCCTTCAGAGATTTTGCTTCTTCACGGATGGTTGGTTGACAGGTTGGGCCGGTTCAGGGCCACAGACGGGCGGTTTCCCCTTTGAATGGCTGCTGGGGGCCTCTGGGACGCTGCCTCCCCCCAGGCTCCTCCTGGCTCCATCTGCGTTTCTCGGGCAGTTGCGGTTCTGCCAGCTGTGTGAGTGGTCCTTCTCCCCTCCAGCCGCCCGCAGACTCTGCTCCGTGACTCACAGGGGCGTTGTAAAGAAAACCAGCCCATTTCGGATGGCGTCCATCCGCCCCGTGGAAGCGGTTCTCAACCTGTGGGTCGGGAGCCCTTTGGGGGGGGGGGGGTCGAACGACCCTTTCACAGGGGCCGCCCAAGACCATCGGGAAACACGTGTTTTCGATGGTCTTAGGAACCGAGGCACCAATTTTATGGTTGGGGGTCACCAGAAGACGAGGGGCTCTGCATTGAAGCGTCGTTGGGGAGGCCGGGAACGGCTGCTCTGTGGGGTCCAGCAGGGAATCGGGAAGAAGAAGGAGCCTTCACTCCTCTTTCGCACCTGGTTTCCTGATCTGTTCTGCAGATCCGTTTCACACAGTCTTCGCTTTGTCCCACTGGGGTTGGGAAAGTCTGGGTTGTGTTCGTGTGCGTGTGGGTGTTCGTGCGTGTGTCTTTTGGCCAGAGTGGGGGCCACTTCATCACTGGGGGCTTTTTCGCCTCCTTCCCCAACTTCTCCAGGGAAGGATTTTGGTCTGCCATTTTTCCCTTCTTGTGGTTGTGGTGTGAGTGAGTTTGGAGGAGAGTCTTTTTCTGTGTTGCCCCTCTTTAATTTCCCCCTCCCGACTCAACGTGGCGGCCCTTCCCTGACAAAAGCCGCCGCAGGGCTGCCAACTCGGCTGCCAGATTACAGCTTCCGGGAGCGAGCTCTCCCGGTCTGTGGAGGTCCGGCTGGTGAAGTGACCGACCGGGACTCCCCCTGTGTCCTCCTCGCAGGGACAATCGGCCCCCGAGGGGGAGATTCCCCCCCCCCCCAACCCCCTTTGTCCACTCTCGGAATGGGCTTCTTCTCCTGGATCAGGGGAGGCAGGTTCGAATCTTCCAATATTTGAGGGGCTGCCCTAGAGAGGAGGAAGGGAGGGGGGGGTGTCAAGCTGTTTCCCAAAGCCCCCGAAGGCCAGAGAAGGAAGAATGGATGGAAACTGACCAAGGAGAGATTCAACCCGGAAATGAGGAGGAAGTTTCTGGCAGAAAGAAAGGAAGCGGAACAGAAGTTGCCTCTGGAGTTTGTGGGAGCTTCTTGATGCTCTCAAGGGGAGGCTGGACAGAAATGGGTGTAGGGTCTCTTCCTTGAGCAGCGGGGTTGGACTAGATGACCTCCAAGCTCCCTTCCAACTCTGTTACTGTGTTACTGTTTAATTTGGCTTTGCTTATCATTAAGGAGGTTACCCCCCCTCCTCCTCCCTCCCGCCTCGAATACCTGCCCCTCGAGGGTGAGTTGCAGGGACTACAAAGCCCCTTTCAGCCATGTTGTTGAGCAAACCGGACTCTTTTCTTTTGCAAAGACGGCGGAAGGCTCTTCACGTGGCCCGTTTTTCATTCAGGCGCCTTTCGCCCTTCGGCAGAATCACGGAAGGGGTTGAACTGGGTTGTGTGTTTTCATT